TCCTACACTACGTTTGCCGAGACGCGGTCTCCACTCAAGAACTCGTTTTTCCCAAATGCATTGAATATATTATAGAAAACCTCAATGTCAACTATTAAAAACTCATTTAAATTCAGTGCCGCATTCGCTATCCGTTCGGCAGAGGTTACGAACCTTGGTAATACTAGTTATCTTATTTAAATAACAAATTAGGAAGCAGTGATCTAGTAAATACAAGTATCATATGTTAATTATTAAAAAGATTCATGCTTTTATTGACTAAGGAAGTAGATAACGGGACTAACAGTTGGTCAAACGGTTAGTGATCCAGGTTGTTGAGCTAGTCGTCGTGGCTTGGATTTCCACCCAGGTTACCTCATTATGTGATGAGTATGATTTATTCTGAGTTTGGATGTAATCTGTTTATCCATACTTTCATACTTATATTATAAAATTTGAGTTTGTATGTTACACTTTCACGCCTAAACCACTAAACCAATTTTTAAAATCCTTTCACCAATGCAAAGCTGCATTATCAGCGAGTATCCGATCAGCGAGGTCAATGTGTCCGATTTTGTAATAAAATTCCAAATTATATTCAAGACTTAAGTTTTATCAAGTTTAAATCCGCAATAAAACGTAAATTATGTCATAAAGCCTACCCATTACTAAATTTTGGATTACATAGAAGACAAAATTGCTTGGGATTAATTAGGATATTTTTTAACTGGAAATGTGATGTGGGCTAGGGTGTTTTTTATTATTTCCTATTTTTTATATTTAACTTCACTTTCTCTTTTATTTGATCTTATTTCTTAACCTTATTTTTCTCTTTATTATCTTTTTACATTTAAGTCCTTATTAACAGACAAGTATGTCTGTTAATAAGGACTTAAATGTAAAGTGCCAGTAGGCACACATCAAAACATATCTGTAAATTGTAAATTGCAAAAGAGTGGCCATGAGTTTGTTTACAATTTCTTCTCATAATGCTCAATCCCTTGGAAACACAGGCATATCATAGATTTTGTAAAGGCATAATTTTTAATAAATTTATTTTGCTCACTATTTCACAAAATAGAGATCATCAACCAGGATTGTGCGTGTGTTGATCTATTATACTGTAGTCTACATAAAAGACAATTTCAAACATTTTATTTTTTAGTGAAATAAAGATATTTTGAGTTTGAGTAACATAGGCTAACTTTTTACCGCTTTAACCGACATATAGTAATATATATATATATATATATAGGTATTTAGTTATTAACCGTGAGAGTCCTTCGGCACTAACGGGCTGGCTCGTCCTTGGTGATACTACGACCTTACACAGAAAACCTGAGAATACCTGAGGCCAAGCCCTTCCCCTCCTTGATTCTGTGGGGGGACCCTAAAGACGGCACTGAGCTTGTGAAGCTGTTGCAGGTGTCCATGGGCGGCAGTAGTCACTCACCATCAGGTCAACTGTAAAAACCCACTAAAAAAGGTATAAATAAGTATGGTTACCAGACTGCTGTTGGTTTGAGTGCAGTCTGCCTTGTGTGAGATATGTCTTGAGCATCCACGTTGAATTACGCGCAGGCTCACGCATCTGCATGGAGTCTAGCGAATTCGCGGACAGTTTCGCGCGTACTCATTTAGATTTATAATTTATGTGTGATCCGTTTAGAAAGGCGGGCATCCTGTATGTGTACCGGCTATTAAACTGGCTCTGATCGTAATAAAATTATTGATATTTTAAACAAGAATTTGAACCGTGTCCCTTGCTTTGGTTATTTCGTTCTACCTATATCGTAGGCAAAGGTTGGTTTCCCCATTGTTGTGTGTTTTGACTGTGTAATATATTATACAGGTATTTAAACACATAAATATAACATATAATTGAAGTAAAATGTCGGTAATCATCAGCCTGTACCTTTGTGTACAAGATCAACAGAGTGATTCAAGAATGATATTATGCATAATAATCCAAAACGTACCTACATCATTGAGCGAAAAAAAGTGCTACAAAATACAGCGAGAGTCCATTACCGCGATACCGGCGGTTTAAATTTTGTTTGTTTTATTTATGACTGAGATGCAACGATTTGTATGCTCTAATTAAGATGAATAAGAAATAGTGATATCTGTTTCGTTCTTCCTTGACCTTCATCAAGGTCACTTTTATGATATTTATTTATTAAGAAATATCAGAAAAGATTTACTTATAGCTAGAAGCCGGCATTTAATAAGACTCACTCCAAAGCAAAATTTGTAATCTAAATAATCTGTAAGTCAGCCTTTCACATAGTTTTAACATTAGGTGTAAAAAATCTAACACATTTAATTTTTTTCTCGTTTAAAATGAAACTATTAACATTGAACCAGTTCACGAACTTAGAGAGAGTGCTATTTACATCATCAGTAACTGCTGCTTGCTGTCTTTTAAGTTTAAACAAAAGAATGACTCTAAAAAACTTATAAATAAGAAAAAATATAGTTATTAATCAAAACTGATTTTTAAATAAGGACGTAGTCACTGATGAGCCATCATCATAATAGTAATTGTAGTATCATTAAATAATCATGTATGAATCTGTTCTTTAAACCAAAACACATAAAATTTAATATCTAAATACACATAAATTTAAAGTTTGGACAAGTAAATTTTTATTTTTTATAAGGTCTAGTTCAAAATATCCATACTTTTTTACTAATCCCACCCACACGCCCACCACTGTAACTCCTGTACACCAGTATCCACAGCAGTGACCCACGAACACACCGAGTTATGACACTCGGGAAGTCAGAGGAAGAAATTTAACTGTCTTGGAACCCTTAACGAAATGAATCAGAAGAAAATTGGAATAGTTGGAAATACATTAAATCCACTTCCCTCCTTAGCAAATCGGGAGACAAAATGAAGTAAAATAGGCATACACCCTTTTAAACAGGGAAGCACCACGGCTACAAAATATTACGGGTCCTAGGTGAGCTATATTTGATTTCTATAATATGTATGGCAAAATCGCCTAAACGCACGGAAATTCACCCTAGTTGACACAAGATCCCCATAGTATACCGCTCCAGATGTCACCTATTCAGCATTATATTACGTTCATTATACCAAAGACTACATTCCGATGAGCAGACTGTTCATAGTGAGAGTTAGGTGTTGAGCATTGACACAATGGTGACTCGACTAATTTAAATGAATACAGCTTGCTCTTAAAGTAACCATGACCCGTAGGAAATTGAGCGACACAGTGATCCACCTCAAGCCATGTCCTCGACAACCGTTCGCGAACAGATGGTAAAGATGGCGCCCCTTGGATGATTCGTCCCAGCGTCGTTGCCATTCGTCTATGAGGTCATTATAGACATCGGACTGCTGTTGAAGCAATCTTGTATTTTACCGCTTTATTACTTATCGCGCGAATATCCATACTTATAATATAAATGAGAAAGTGAGTTTATTTGTTTGCTTGTTACGTTTTCACGCCTAAACCACTAAATCAATTAAAAAAATTAGGCTACTTTTCACCGCGATAACCGACATACAAACGGGCGGCGCCGCGGGCCAAAGTTAGTATTAAATAAATGATTAAGTAAGTTAAAGAGATTGTTGGACATACACCTTTGTTTCCCAATCGCCAACCTTCGCTCGTTATTGAGGGCGATTAATTATAATTACGCAGTTACTGTAGGGTGAACGATAACACATATTTTCGTCCCAATTAAATACATTATAGGGCCAAGATATAATAATAATATTCTCACACATTTCACACACGGCCGTCTGATCCGAAACTAGGCAGTGTCTGTGCTATGGTAACCAAACTGCTAATAAACGTACTTATATATTTCTAAATACATACATGTTATAGATAAAGTACACCCAGACCAGAACAAATGACCGTACTCATTATACAGTAATTTGTGTATGGTGGGAATGGAACCCACTACCTCTGGCGTAGCAGTTAGGGTCACTAACCACTAGACCAACATATTATTTCGTATAAGCATAATACGTACAATATTTCAATAGGTAAGAGATAAAAAGGATCACAATGACGGTTTAAATTAAATTTTTCGTTGATTTTTACATGTGAGTAACGTAACGGGGGGCCTCCAATAATTCAGGGACACCGCACTTGTGTCCCCTGAGCTGTGGGTGATCCGTCTGTTCATTTGACATTTATTGATCTAAGTGGTTAATGATCCTGACTCCTGAGCTGGAGCAGCTGGCACCTTCTATTCCTGTCCAGGACTAATAATTATGTTATACATTCTGTGTATCGTATAACTTATCTATAAAGTATGTTAATTTAGTAATATGCAAAGTATGTTTCTCAGCAGTCAAGCTGCCATAGTACAAGCTTTTTGTGGCACGGGGGTGGTGCGGGGGGGTCCCAAACCAGCACTCTGGTTACTTGATGGTACCATGAAAAACTGCAACCCTAGAAGCCAAGCTATGCTTAGTTAGATATAGATAATCTCTTCCTGCGAGCCTTTTACCCAAACTAGGTTGGGGTCGGCTTTAAGTCTACTACGATATGGATGAAATTCAATTTTTTACGTGGAGTGACTGCCGTCAGACCTCCACAGACCAAGTAGGTATTAGGCGATATCGAAGTTCTGTAGAAAGACTGTTCTTGGACTCTTAAGGGCTTCACCCGGGACTGACAGATTAACGTGCTCTCCGAGGCACGTAGGGGTCTCAATGTGTTAAAATAGGTCACCCAGCTGTAGACTGACCTGGCTAGGTTTGCTTAACGTTGCAATATGTTAACCTGCCCGGTTACCACTTAGCCACGAGATATAGAAAATAAATTTTAGCAATTCTTTCCCAGCTACTCACAGAATAAGTAAGATTATCAGAGGATAAGAATACAAAAAATAATAATCTGTACAAAATTATTTTTACTTAAATTTTAGAAGTTGAGTTTATTAACGGGTCACAATACCACCCTTAATATCACCACACACATTAGTGAATATAAAATGTAACCTACTTACCTAAGTATTTTTTTTTCCTCCAGGCGAGTTTGAAGTAAGTCCCAACACAAGCTTGAACGAATATCTGCGCAACCATTTGCAACTCTATGGCACTAAGGCTATGTGCAATGAAGGCGGATGTGGGGCTTGTATTGTGTCCGCCTCTAAGATTCATCCTGTGACTAAGGAAAAACACGTATTTGCTGTTAATTCTGTAAGTACATATAAAATTGACTAAATTTTTTGGCAGTATGTAGATTTTTTGTTATGGAAGTTAGGGTGGACCAGCAGAGCCCGACGTGGATTTTTTTCATCGATTATGAATAGGACCGACCGGGGAGCATACCCTGCCAAAAAAAGAAGATTTTTTCAAATCAGTGACAAATGAAGGAGTTTTGAGCTTCAAAAACACGTACCCGAATTTAGAAGATCCTTCTTTTGTTAAGTCTGTTTAAAAGAATACATGAAACTTTGACAAACTTACTAGAATAGTACTTACTAACCTCTTTTTGAATTAGCCATCACTTATGTATGCGAGAAGCAAAAAAATATTGATTCTTATAGCGCTTGGAACAGGTCGTTGTCACGAAGTCATTTTCTGTGTGAGTTCAAGGATAGGGTTTTACCAGCATTGTCCTTATTTATCATTTGATGGTGCACTCAGTATATTATGAATATATTTACATGATTAGCTTACCACACCAGATGTTACAAAAGGAAATAGTTGCAGGTTCCTTATTAAAATTTGAGTTGGTTGGTTCGCGGACTTGGTTTAGTTAGTACGAGTATGATATATGAAAGCTAAAACATATTTTTTGTCATGTCATCTTTTATTACAACCTTTTTTCTAATAAGCTTTTATAATCAGCTTGCTTATAGCGTAATTTTGGAATTTGATAATGGGAATTGTATTGTTATAATACTGCCAGTAGGAAATGCAAAGTTTTTAATTTTATACGAAAGGTAAAATGTTTTCTTACTTTTCAGTGCCTTGTATATATCCTATCGTGCCATGAATGGGACATACTAACGGTGGAAGGCATCGGAAACCGCAAGGATTGTTATGACCGGATCCAGCGTGTTCTTGCAGAATTTAATGGCAGCCAGTGTGGATATTGTTCACCTGGATGGGTCATGAACATGTACAGGTGACTTAAGACTTCTTTTTCAGGCAAATAAGGGCTCTCCATAGCTCCAGTAGCCGAATTGTTTCAAGAATTTGTAGATTTCTATTAACCTTTATTCAAGTCAAGTCTAAGGTCGAAAACTAACAAAGTAATGCTGCACGGATGGCGGAGTGGTTTAAGCGGTCGCCACGCCGCTTCCTACTACGCCGAGTGTTGTGGGTTCCATCCCCACATGGGACGGCAATTTGTGTGATCCACAAATTGTTGTTCTGAGTCTGGGTGTTTTTTGTGTCCGTTTCATGTATGTTTGTACAGTCCCCCGCAACACAGGATATATATATTCCTAATGCGGGAGTTGTCTTTAAAAAAAAAAATTAACTGTAAACAGAACTAACAACGACTTAAATTGGTTTTTTTTTTACTACAATTTATCATAAGGTAGACGTTTAAATATGCAGAATATAGTTAACCGTATTCTACATATCTTAATTTTGCATTCTTAGGGGTTGATTTTTTGTTCAATGCTGAATTGGATTAAACAGGAAAGATGCCGTCCCGATTAAAAAAGTTTTTTTCCTATCATCAATGACGGAGTTCTGGAGTAACTAACATAAAATATTTTTGCACAGCCTCAGAGAATCAAACGACAAATTGACGACGTATCAAGTGGAAAATTCATTTGGCAGTAACATGTGTCGATGTACTGGATACCGGCCTATACTCGACAGCTTTAAAATATTTGCCACAGAGCTTGAACCTAAACTGCAGAATAAACTTCAAGTGAGTAAACTTGTAATGTAATTTAACCAATGTTGACATGAACCGCATCTTTTTTAATGTGTTAAACATTTCCGCTCGTTTTAGTGCTATCTGAGGGAGTAATTTGGTATTTTCTAAAGGTTAAAATGATCAGATTGATTTAAGTCCTAACGAGACGGCTAAGCAGTTGCCCGTTTCTTAACTAGAAACTTCAACCCATGAGCCACTTAGACCTGTCAAAATTTTGCCTACATCACTAGAAACATATTTGGTAGAAATTACCTGTTGTATTTTGTATTTGTATATTTATGCTCATAGTAGGAATACGAAAACTAAAAGGCGTTTATTAAAATGTTCCAGGATCTTGAAGATCTGCATTTATCGAAATGTGTGAAAAAATGCGAGCGCAAATGCAGTATTATCGAAGATGGATGGTGCTTTATAGAGGAGAAGCCAGGCTCTTCTATTAAAGTCAGTACTACCGGAGGTCGGTGGTATAGGCCTAACACAGTACAAGAAATATTCACGGTAACCTATTGTTTAATATGTTAAATTACTGTAGATGTTCTTAATTATTCTATCAAATAATATCAGATTAATGTCCGGGACACTAGGTCTCCTTTCCTTATTCTGTATTTCAGCTTATCCTATAAAATTTATTTTATCAAACAATGAAACGAACTCAGGTTCGCCTAAATTATAATATAATGAAAATTTTATTTTTAAATATTCCTATTTAATAATAAAATTTGAACAAAATATAAATATACTACGCTGTACTAAGAGAGCAAACTACGCAGGACAATAACACTGCAAAGAGAAAAAAAAAAACTTGACACTAGCCTTATTGTCCCGCCAGCGTGTTGTAGTAGGCCAAACCTTCGTTTCTAAGGAGAGGCTTATGCCCAGCAGTGGAATATTAATGGTTGTTGATGTGATGTGAAACAAAAATTCCCTAATATGCAGAATGTGCTTCAATTCTTAAGTTGTTTGTGATCCTAAGAAGCATGTTGTGGCTGTTGACCATATGTCATTTCTCCATGATTTGTTGAGTTACTTTAATCTTCTTTACGATGTCTTTAAAGTTAATTTATTTTACTTACTTCAGGTATTGTCAAATGAACGTACTGGAAACTACAAGCTAATATCAGGAAATACGGGTAAAGGTAAGTTTCACTTTCCTTGATTAGGTGTTTTGTTTTTTTTTTATATAAGTTATACATAGGCGGACTTATGCCTAAAGCATTCTACACCAGTTGACAGATTGGGTAATGCCGGGAAAGGATAACATTGTTCAAATTTTGTAAATAGTGTTCAGAGGCCCCTGTAAACACCTACTTTGGAACGACCAGCCTGAATATACTAAATACGTAAAATAAGTCTATAGGGTCATAATTTGATAAAAGAAAAATATTATAGTAGCGACGTCTAGTAAGGGCGGGAATATTGTATTGTATAACAGACAGATAGACAGACAGAACAACATATTGTGGATCACACAAAGTAAAGAAAAAACATAAAAAAATTAAAAACATTTAAATGATATAAAACATAGTACACCACCGATATCGGGTACAAGGACCAAGACACCAGTGGTTAGGACTCCAAAGACAGGAACCTCACTATACGGGCCTTGTCAAAGAAAACCTTCTGCATCAGACCCTTGATCCAGCCGTCTAACGTGAGCCTCTTTAGGTGTTGGTCGGACTATCGGATCAATAATCGCCGTATCCACATATCGACAATCTGGTATAATAATAATTATTATGTATATTATCTTAGTATTTACAACTTATGTATAAATCATGAGATTGAAAATTACAATATAATGAAAAGAATTTATTTTGGTAAATTCATGTCAATGACCCTGTCTGCCCAGCGTTGCCTTAATACTATTCGGCCCGATGAATGAACCTATGAAGGGAACTGCTGTTCAGTTTAAATATAGGCGTTCACTACTATGAACACAATATCTGTTTCAGGAGTATACCCAGAATCTACCGAACCACAAATTTACATTGACATTTCCTCAGTAGAGTCACTCAAAACAGCGTGCATGGACCAGAATTTGGTGTTGGGTGCTGGCATGACGCTCACTGACGTAGCAGAAACATTCAAGGCCAGAAGTACAACTGAAGGAGATTTTAGTTATTTAAATGAACTCTTTAAACATTTGGACTTAGTAGCACATATACCTGTAAAAAATGTAAGTAATCTTGGGTTATTACTATCAGCGGCCCGCCCCGTCTTCTGATATATTCAACTACTATTGCCATATACCAGTTGACACAAACTACACAACACTTAAGCCTGCCCCATGATTTACTATGTCTATTGGTGAAAAACGCATTCAAATCTGTTCAGTAGTTACTTGAGTTCATCACGAACAGACAGACGCGGCGTAAGATCTTTTATAATATGTAGTGATAGTGATGAATGTTACAGTTTTTCAATTTTATGACCTTACCAATGTGGCGACATCCATCATCATTATCATTTAAGTCGAAAGACGTCCACTGCTAGATATAGGTTTCTCCCGTGGGAGAAATTTGACATACCAACCACCAGAACGTCATCCACGTACAACGAAAAATATACTCGAATCGATACAAATAATCAAGACACACCAATAGGTAATAAAAGGTCTCACGTCGATTGTTATGTGTGTATGTATAACTCCCCGATGTAAACTAATGGGCCGCGACCTACCAGGCATGATCACCTCACTGGGTCGAGGATTCTCCATTTGTGTTTAAGGGGCAGAACACTCGTTTCTCCAAACCAACGTATTTTATTTATATAGATACAAGATGTACAACAATTATTGTACAGTATTGAATAGAGTTCATGATGGGGAGGATGATGATTTGTTCCTTTTTTTAGATTGCCACAATAGGAGGTAATTTAGCTTTAAAGAATCAACATCACGAATTTCCTTCGGATATCTTTGTAATACTGGAGACCGTTGGTGCCACAGTAACATTGGGTAACTAAATTTTTACTTCTTTGTTTTCGTATCCTAGCGTTCTCAACCTTGCCAGTTTGTCCCGTCCGAAAAATATTGCACCAGCCCCCAAATAAAATTCGTATGATAATATAAACCTTATGTGCTACTGTTGTAACAATCTAGTTACTATCGCGATATTAAAAATCGTCCAATCAATATCCATGTTTGCCTGTAACAACAAACATGAATTATTCAACTTTTTTTTGATGCAGAAAGAATTTTAGGAAGGCATAAATATGTAGTCAATAACTGTTCTTCAAATTCCGCCGTCAAATTATTTAAGAACAGATTATTTTTGATACCAGGATTGCTCACTTGAAAGTTATTTCTTTCTGTCGGGAACACTACATTTTTCTTGGTGAAACGTAACCTAAAATTTATTTTATATCTTTTTGTTATGTATGTAAAATTTCATGATGATCAATTGAGAAGTTTAACCGTAAAATGTAAGAAGCAAAGTCTAGGTTGTATTTGCAATATTTTACTTTTAGTTTTTTTTTTGTCAGTAAACAAGGACCTACGGAAGACAGAAAAGGGAATGAAAGATTTTCTGACCACTAACATCAAAGACAGCATCATAAGTGAAATAAAACTGCCGCCACTAGGCAGGAACTGTCTACTACGTACGTACAAGGTAAACAACAAACTCAAGAATTTGACAATTATAATAAAATCAACTTACAAAAAAGAGAGGGTTCTCAGTTTAGTATTTTTACGGAAAGCGGCATCGGTAAAACTGATGCCAAACCACAGATTACAGACCATTTTAATTCCCGCTATGCATGATAATGCTAGTTTTTTCTTTGTTTCCATATTAAATTCATTAATTCGATAGTAATTCCAAAAGCAAAACCTTTTGATACTCCAGTATGTACATTTAATTTTGATAAGTTAGTCTTGTCATCAGATCTGCCTTAATGGCAGCACATTAACTTTTTGCTCTCTGCTGCATTACATTTCATTTAAATATGAGATTAATAATTAACTCACGACTGATACCTTGAAGGACTGACTTAATCCATTAGAAACCTTGACCCCTCTAACTGAATCGGTGTGAGGCTTTTGAATCCAGACGAAATCACAACATCATGATCATCACTGCCTCAGTCAGTATTGCAATCCTAGGCATCGAAATATCAAACGAAGTCCAGTTTCGCGGTCATTTAGAGGGTAAGGTCAAATTGGCCTGGAAGTAGCTCGGTGTGCTGAACAGGTCGAGGCAGCATTTAACTCCAGCCCATCGCCTCTAACTCAGGCGCAAGTCCGACCGCATATGGAATACTGTTCTCATCTCCATGAAGGGGCACCATAATACCAGCTTCTCCCTCTGGATCGTATCCAAAGAAAAGCGACTCAAATCGTCGATAGCCAAAAGATTTGCGACCGCCTCGATTACGTAGAGATGTAGCTTCGCTCTGCATTCTCTATCGTATATCTCATGGAGAGTGCTCCGAAGAATTGTTCGGACTAATACTGGCCGCAACCTGCCGCCATCGTTCCACACGGCAAAATTTTCATCCCCACCTCTTGGATGATTCGCGCTCCACCACTGTGCGCTTTTCAAGACACTTTTTGTCTCGCACTACCAACCTGTGGAACAAATTATCGGCTGCGGTATTTCCGGACCGATACGACTTTCAAACTTTCAAGAAAAGAGCGTACTCCTTCCTCAAAGCCTGGCAACGCGCTTGTGACTCCTGAGTTGCAGGCGTTCATGGGCGGCGGTAGTGTCTTTTCCATCAGGTGATCGTCTGCTCGTTTGCCCCCTATTCCATAAAAAAACATAACGCTCTATTAGGGTAGTAAAGAATTAAACATAGTTTTTAAAACAAAATTAGAAATTGTAAAAAATGTTTTTTTGTTTAAAATGGTTATATATGTAATCTGTGTTTTTAGGTAATGCCTCGCGCCCAAAACGTACATGCCTTAGTAAACGCTGGTTTTCTCTTTAAACTGGACTCTACAGAGACGATAACATCCGCAAAAATAGTTTTTGGAAACATCAGTCGATCATTTGTAAGGGCTTCGATAACTGAATCGGCGCTTGTAGGGATGACCTTCAATAATTCTGGACTCCAGACTGGTCTCAGAAAACTGGTTGAAGAATTAGTAGCTGAAGACAACCCGCCTGAACCTTCACCAGAATGCAGGAAGATGATTGCTTTGGGACTGTTTTATAAAGTATGTTATGTTTACATATTTTTTTTGCCTTGCACTTATAACTCTTTAGTAAGAGAGAGGCCCAAGTGTGACTTTATTTCACTTAACCTCGCTTTCGACGGCAAGCACGTTTGGCTTTGCGATTGGTGAAGATTTTAATACGGACCACTCGCAACACCGAACACGGTCACCGTGACGATCCAGTTGAAGTGAAATAAACTTACACTTAACCTTCAGATGTCCACCCTTTTTTTTCCTTGCGGAAATCCCCTCGGATACCACCTGTCGGTGGCATGTCGGACTCGAACCGACTAAAACCGCACGCCGTCTCGGGTACTATCAGGGAACCAGGTATACCCTAGAAAGGAAGCCCCTGGTGCTCAGATGTCCACCCGCGTGCTCGTTTGCCCCTTATACAATAAAAAAACTAACACTATTATGTGTAAGCACTTTACTAAGTACTAAAGCTAAACTGAAATCGTTTATAACTCATTGTTCAATGTATTTACAACACTATTTAAAACTATAGCCTGTATAAATTGTAAGAGTATTCATCATCACCATCAACAGCCTTTAGTAGTCCACTGTTGGACTTAGAAACGAGGTTTTGGCCTACCATTGTCATGGTGTGTATTATTTATTAATTATATTGATAAATAATAATAATAATAAATAATAAAATAAGTGTATTAGTGAACTTGAATGCAGCAAGGATTAATTACTGTTACTACAATATCATCAGCTGTTATATATCGTATTATTTATTCTTCTTTAATTTTTCAGGCGATGCTGTCTCTGGCTAAGAATGTAAGCCCGCGTTTCAACTCTGGAGGTGCGTTACTATCAAGAGGTATATCCCACGGCACGCAGATTTATGAAACTGACAAGACATTATGGCCGCTAAACAAACCGGTTTCAAAACTGGAAGGACTTATTCAAGTTAGTTGCATAAAAACTTAAAAGTTGTAGTATTAGTTATCCCTTAGTCTTTTGTGCTTACATATAAATCTTATCTTATATAAATCTAATCTAATCTTATAATGCGAGCGCCATAACTTGAGACCTGAACGCGGTGACGTCACAGACACGCGTTTGTACAGAGTGCACAAAAAGTAGCACTACAAGCTCTCACACGCGACTTCGTAATTTTTTACATAAAAAATAACATAGATAAAGTAATTTACTCAAAACAACGACACTTATTATTAATTTTTTTGTATTATACTGCGCCCAAAAAAATAATTGTTTGCGTGAATTATACTACTACAACGGCTACGAAAAAGTAGTAATAAAGTTCAATGTATTTAATTCAGTATTATATAATTTATGTGTGTTTCTATTTCCTATCAGATTAACAACAAAATGTAACAGACAGTCTAATAACAAAACGATAACAAGATTGACAACAAAATGTAACAGGAAATCTGATAACAATAGGAATGCGACGTCGTTACGTGACATAGGCCAGTACGAGTCCAAAATGTTAGTAAAAAAATGGCGTTGCCTACAGTACAACGTGGGCGCTCGAAGGGAAGTGAAAGGGGTAGCGGGCGGGGAATCGCATTCCACGCAAGTCTTTACTTATCGCGCACGGAAATTACATAAATATAATACTGACAATATATTTAACACACTAAATCTAACACTATATTTTTCTCTAAAATAAATGCAATAATAAAATTGAAAATAGCCGTCCACTCTATCATAAAGAATAGACTCAGAAAAATAGCGCGCGAAAAGCATACATATTATTTAAACATGTTTAAAGATATCCATTAGCTGCAATAAAGCTAAATATAATAAATTGTCGACTTCGTTACTTTCAAGTTATGAAAAGAGCGTACTCCCACACTTTTTATTTTCGTTTCTAAACTTTTAATTATAAAATGTTGTCTTTCTGACAAATTATACAGTGCTCAGGTGAGGCTAGATATGTGTGCGACATAAATTCTGGACCACGGGAGGTGCACATCGCTCTTGTTCTATCTAAAGTGTGTCGAGCTGAACTCTTGGGCTTCGAGGAGAAAGAAGCATTGGTGAGTAGATTTCTCTGAATTATATTTACTCAATACCTTATAAAAACCGAATGCAAGGCTTATAGTTTGAGGGTAAAAATAATACTCTGATTAAATATTAAAAATTAAGTCTTTAGACTAGAAGGAAAGATCAGAGCTACTTATTGTTAGTTATAAAAATAATAACAACTAAATTTAAAGTTAGAAAAGAAGAAAATTAAAAAAAAGGTTTATCCCATGCCTTATTCTAATTTTTAGAATAACGAAAACATTGTTACATTATTATTTTTTCTTTCACAAAATAATGACATTTATTTTCAGAAAATTCCGGGCGTCGTCGGCTTTCTTTCAGCTAAAGACATTCCTGGTCAAAACTCCTTTACTCCAACCACTATTCCCTCAGTAACTCACAATGAAGAACTATTTGCATCTTCTTCTATCTCTTACTATGGCCAGCCAGTAGGCATGGTTGTTGCTACTACCAAAAACTTGGCATTAACTGCAGCAGAATTGATTAAAGTCAACTATAAGAAGATGGATGTAACGCCAGTTCTCACTGCCCGGGATGCATTGGTAGCTCCAGATAAGGATAGACGTGTAAGAAGTACTAGGTGTATTTTACTTTACTATAACTATAAAGTGTAGTGACGGATTAAGAATACAGAATGTCACTACCCCAATTCATCTCGTGGGTGTCGTAAGAGCCGATTAAGGGAGCAAACTACGCAGGACAACAACACTGCAAAAAGAAGGAAAACTTGAAACAAACCCTATACCAACCCGTCTGGCCAGCGTGGTATAGTAGGCCGAAACCTCCTTTCTAAGGAGAGGCTTATGTCCAGCAGTGGACTATTAAAATTTTTACTACTATTAAAATTACTAAAGGCTGTTGATGTGATGTGATGATGTGATCCATGTTAACTTGGAGTTCATAAGAACGTCCACACAACGTACAATTTTCCTTGATGCGAGATCGTTCTAGATGCTTGTAAATCTATTTCTTCTTTAAGGAAGTAGTCTAGCAGAACACATTAGCGTTATCTGAACGCGTAGTGATCTGAGTGCGACTCTAAACACGGAAACAGAGCTTTTTATACCAATATATATTTCAAGGAACCTGAGTAAAACGTTAACAATTGCAGGAAGATTTTATTATCCTTATAAAACTCCCTAATTTATTTTGAAACTGCCAAAATGATTTTGGATATTGACAAATAAACGTAATATTTCGTGAGAGAATCTAATGTAAAAAAAAACTGTAGGTTTTTTTATGAAATAGAGGACAAATCAGATGGTTTACATGATGATAAGTGACTATACCGCCGCTCATGGACATCTGTTAATCAACACGACACAAACTAATTAATTGAATTTTAATTAAAGAAATTTAATGAATGAATGAATGAAAGAGGCGAAGGTGTTCCTGCTCCGGTAACCTCACTTACTTGTTGAATAATAACGAAATAATTACTTAACACCGGTTTTCTGTGACGCCGTGGTATCACTGGTATCACAGAAGGCCAGAGGCCTATGTGCAGCAGCGGACTATTAAAGGCTGTTGATGTGATAACGTATTAATTAAGTTGTAATAGTAATAATTTCTTCACAGTTCAAAGATATTGCAAATAATGTTTTATTGTCTCTAGTACATTGCTCTTTTAAATATCTTGTAATTCTTGATGGAGTAACATTAAGAAAGATGTACAATTTTGTTCATAACATTTTCAGTAACATTTTGAACGTTTATATTGGTAAACTTAAGTTATTTAAGTAACAACATTGACAGGTACGTCAAGAAGTCCAAATTAACCCCCTTAGAAGAGGTACGGATATAAAGCACACATTCTCTGGGAGCTTCAGCGTACCTTCACAATACCACTATTCTATGGAGACCCAGAGCTGTCACGTTCACGTCGATGGCTCAACCATAGTTGTGAGATCTGCTACACAGTGGATGGACCTGATCCAAATTGCTGTGTCTAAAGCTCTTGGTGTTGACGAAAATAGGTTTGTTGTTTTTAGTTGGTTTTTTATGTTTTAAACTTGGAAGCATTTAGCAGTCCCTTTCTTTGAAAGACCAAAAACACTGCTTGTAAGAACCAAGGGTCTTAACGAGTAGGATTTGATATCCATACTTCAATACTTATATTATACACCTGAAAGTGTGTTTGTTTGTTAGTTTGTTTATTTTGTTAGTTTATTTACTGCGATAACTAACATGCACGCGTGCGTGCATCTGTGCGTGGGCAAAACCTAGATTTTCAAATTTCAAATTCTTTATTAATAAAACATTAAAATTGATATCAGTCATAAGTTGAGATTCTTTGTAGAACAATAAAATATGAATTTATATAAGAATTGCTTCCACAATCATCTTAGCACAAATCCAAATCTACCCTGTTAGCATTGTTTTAGTTGATTTAACAAACGCTGGCTGATACAATTTGACATCATGACACGTTTACTGTATTGCATGTGGACGTATTCATCCCCTAAGATTAGTCAACAGCAGCCATGTACCCAGCATAAAAGAAAAAATCTATTTAGTAATACGTAAAGAAAATTGATCAGTAACCAATTTAACCCTCGTCCATGTGGTGACGGATTAAGAATATATTGTGGTGTAAACTCTGCAGGACAACAGCACTGCAAAGAGAAGGAAAACTTGACACAAACCCTATACTAACCCGTCTAGCCAGCGTGCTATAATAGGCCAAAACCTCCTTTCTAAGGAGAGGCTTATACCCAGCACTGGACTATGAAAGGCTGTTGATGATGATGATGAACCCTTTTAAACACAAAAGCTTTTTTCCTTGCTTAAGACTTTTTGGAAGACTTCATGTTGTTTAAATATGTAGAAAAGTGGAGAAAACTAAAATATTCTTACAATATGCGCTATAATGTTAAATATCATGTAAAGGTAACTACATAAAGCTGTAGGGTACAGTATATACAGCCGTGGTACAAAGTCTATAAAATGATAATGCAAGCTCTACTGGTTAATAATAAAACAGGACAAGTTAATTACTGGTGAAACCAGGATACTTAGCTATTTTGGAAATAAAACTAGTTGTAGTTATAACATCGTCGTTTTTCTATTGAAGCTTGTCTTCTTTGTTTTAATACATTTAATAATATTTCTCTTCCAGAATTCTGGTTGAAGTGCCCCGTGTAGGTGGCAGTTACGGCGGTAAAGCTTCGCGTTCAGCGCTAGTAGCGTGCGCCTGCGCAGTTGCCGCCCACAAACTTAATAGACCAGCCTCTCTTGTGCTACCGATCACAGATAACATGAATGCTCTAGGCAAAAGACATCATTGTGACTTTGATTATGAGGTAATGGTGCTTTATTATTTATAAATTTGAACTTTTTGTAGAAAGTAGGTCACACTCTAATTATATAAGCTACATATCGTATGTCGTATCAGCAATTCATTTCCTTTATTGCTTTAATGAAACTTCAAAACTAATATGTCATATGTTTTTTTTTTAAACTTCAATACAACCCATGTCCTGGGAATTACAACAAAAAAAAATCGCCTAAGACAATTAATTTCAAAATATTTCTACTATAAAAAAGTAGTTCAAATTTATAACTACGTCTATGTTGCCTGATACTATAAAAAAAAACTACAAACGACTTTTTCTACAGTGTATACTATTCATTGCTTGCTAAGTGCCGACAATATTTAATAAACAATATTTAATAATACACGGAGGGGCTTGTGGTTTAGTGGTAACCATTGCAAAGTAATCCTAGCTAGGTAAGTCTTTGGATGGGTGACCATTCTTAACACATTAAGCCGTGCAAGCCAACCTGGTTTGGGAATAAGTCTCGGTGGAAGAATGTTTAATAATACTCAACCCGAAATGTATTAATTTTCAGTGCGCCGTAAACGACGATGGTGTAATTCAATATCTCAATGTGACTTACTATTGTGATAGTGGCTACACGTTCAACGACTCCCCAGCGCATGATATATCATTAGAAATCTGTACTTGAGCGATAGTTTTAGCATCACTGGATACAGCGTGCTCACTGATAAACCTAGTGAAACTTGGTGTAGAGCGCCTGGTAAGTCCGCATTACAAAACTCTTTAATCATGCATGTATTTATACGTTAAAACTATATAAATTTTTTTAAATACCCTCTGACGTTAGGGTCAGACCCATAACTTTACTGAGGTTACAGGAGAAACAAAACAATCTAGCCTAAATTATAATCGTTTTTTCTACTGCAGTATATTATTATCAGAAAACAGCAACTCATATGTATCTATACAAGAAAAAGAGCCTGCCTCTTTACGTTATCTAGGAGCAACAATCATTCATAGCATAAGTGGTTAAATGGACTAAGTTTTTGTTAAGCTAAAGTGACACATGTGTGTTACACTAAAATAATCAATATCATAGGTATTTATGATCATCTATATAGTTACAAAAAAACATCACGTCATCATCAACAGCATATAACAGTCCACTGCTGGACATAGGCCTCTCCTTAAAAATGAGGTTTTGACCTACTATACCATACTGGCCAGACGGGTCGGTATAGGGTTTGTCTTCTTTTTGCAGTGTTGGTGTCCTGCGTTGTTTTGCCCTCTTAGTCGGCACTTACGACACCCACGGGATGAATTGGGGTAGTGACATTCCGTAGTCTTAATCCTACACGGACAAAATATATAATATTCATTATTATACCTAAATATTTATTGAAATCAGTTCACAAATGGCGAAGATAATATCGCAAAACTTATTCAAAAAAAAGTCTAATTAAGAACCTCCATTTGGAAGTCACCTAAAACACACTAAGCAATTCAGTGCCATCTATTGTTAAAAAAGGCCTTTCCTTTTAATTTCCTTTTATGTTGGTTCACTTTTCTTTTTCAATAAAAACTTATTGAAAAAAAATAGTGAACTAACATAAAAGGAAATTATGAATAAATTATACATATGAATCAGTAAAATAACGGTGAACAAAAAATTACTCTATACTCGTAGATTGCAAATTAAATAAAAATGCACCCTGAAAAGCAGTACATCAATATAGCTAATTGGAATTCAAATGGACCTATATCGATGAATAAGTACAAAAATCTAATTCATTATATTTCCTTTTTCAGGTACTACAGAAGCCATAGCGTTCACAGAACATATCATGGAACGAATTTCACACATCACTAGCAAAGATCATATTGACGTTCGAATAGCCAACCTTCATTCAGATCATGACGCCTTCAAAGACTTAATAACAACTTTCAAAACAGAAAACGAATTCGAAGACCGAAGAAGTGCTATAACAAAATTCAACAGAGAAAATGCATGGAAGAAAAAAAGTCTAAAACTGTCGTTAATGTCTTTTCCTATAATATATGCATTTAACTTTCCTGTAACCATATCAGTTTACCATGGTGATGGTACAATAGCTATTTCCCATGGAGGAATAGAAATGGGACAAGGAATTCATACAAAAATTGCACAAGTCTGCGCCTACTCATTGAAAGTTCCTTTAGAAAAGGTGATAGTTAGAGGTAGTGATAGCTTTGTATCACCAAACGCCATGGCATCAAATGGAACTATAACTAGTGATTCTGTGGCTTATGCTACGGTGAAGGCGTGTGAAAACTTATTAAAAGCATTAGAACCTACAAGGAAAGAGTTGAGTGAACCTACTTGGGAGGAACTGATTAAGAAGGCACATGAAAATGGTATGATTTTCACTGCATTGAACGTGAGGCAATATTTATGTCTGGTTGTTTTATTAGACACTAAAAGAAAATTAAAATAAATCTATTTCAGTTGATTTTCAATCTCTCGTTACTTGAGGTCCCCTTAAAACTCTATTGGTCTATAGTAATTTTAAGGTTATTTACTTACTTACTGCGAACGTTATGTTATCCACCAATTTGGCAAGCAGGGTAAATATGTAAAAAGATAAAAAAAAAAAGTTTAAAAATCTATTTACTGTAGGTACTCTATAATGCAGTGTTAATACTTAATTTAAAACAAAAACGAAAAGTAAATCACTGAAAAAAGTGCTAATTCCAAATATACAGAGTATTGATGTCAATATCGAACTAGGTTAAAATGTAGAAGTTTTTTTTTTAAGATAATCAGCACAAATAAATTAAATTAGTGTTTAAATTGTGTCTCAAAATACCCATAACTGTTATTCAAAGCTAATAAATGTAACGAACTATCTAATCTTTTGCTCTTCAGGTATAAATCTTCAAACGACATATATGATGTCACCTAATGATGCACTACAAGGGTACAATATATACGGCATATGTGCGGCCGAAGTGGAACTAGACGTATTGACTGGTAACCATATCATTAGAAGACTGGACATACTGGAAGATACTGGAGTCAGTATGAGTCCAGAAATTGACGTAGGACAGGTAAGGTTTTATAATAGAAACACTAACGGAAACTATACTAACTTTTGAATTTTTTGTACCTGGTTGTTATTATTTTGTTACTTAAAATAGGCTAAACTACTTGTATTCTTCATTTGGACGATGAAAAAAATTGTTAGCATCGCCAATATCGTATTTAAAGCGGCCATTTTGATTTTGCTAAGGCCATTTTAGGTGGTCTACATTCTAATCTAGAGTCCAAAATCCCGGAAAGATTACTCTTTGGGCTCCATTAAACAGGCTACATGGCATTAGTACTTATAGCACTCGTAACAATATATTTTTTACTTTTTTTTACTATCTAAAACTAACTAAAGACAGGATAAACAGTCATTTAAATTACAATGCATATGTTCTTCCACATGAATACTAATGTTAACAGATTGAAGGTGCTTTCGTCATGGGCTTAGGTCTCTGGACATCAGAACAGATAATTTACGACAAAGTGACTGGTAAACTGTTGACTGATAGAACATGGACATATAAACCACCTGGTGCCAAAGATATTCCTGAAGACTTTAGAGTCAAATTTAGACCAAACGCTAGTAATCCTGCAGGAGTCTTGAGATCTAAAGGTGAGAATCGCATAAATCTTTGGAACATATTTTGAAAGTCGCCAGTTGTTGTTCCTATTCCAGAAGCCTCGCCACAGGGTGCAGATACAGATATGCAAACCCAGGTTCTTCGAGCTTCTGTAGTCTTAGTTTCATTCGCTACCATTGACTTGCAGTACTACTAATGACTTACCCATTTCCGTCCCCTCTCCATTTTTTAAATTCCAATTTGTCTTATTCCTTAGTCCCATTTCAAAACCAACACATCGTCAATGAGAGTTTGCGTCTCCTCAACTTTACGTCAAAAGTCATTAGTCATTAGATTAGATTAGCTTAGCTTATTATCCGTAATTTGTATTATAATTGAAAATCAATCAATCAATTTTGGGACTAACTCGACTTTAAGACTTTGTAAACATGTAAAATAAAGACCTTTAAAAATATCAAAAAAAGAAAAATTGTTGTCCCGTTTTACAGGAACCGGTGAGCCAGCGCTAACATTAGCAGTAGTCGTGACACATGCATTGCACGACACCATATTAGAAGCTCGGAAGGAGTTTGGATACGTTGATAAAGATTGGGTTTTTGTAGGTAAGCATTTGCATTGAAATGGTCAATGCATATTATATTCAAATTACACTTTTTTATATTGCGCAAAAAAAAAGGTAAAATGTCATAGGAACGTGGGGACATTAACAAGAAATTAATTTGGAGAGTGCTAACAGACCTTTAACAGTCTTCTGTAAATGAAGGGCACAGAATAGCACACCGTTTGTCTGGTCATGGTGTGTGATCCCGTGATGATAAGTAAGGGTTTCCACATGGGGGGTGCTGGGCTAGAAAACCTCCTCGTGGTGCACCCTGGAAACGCTGGCGATGGTACTGTTTCCTCCTTGTCCTCTTGGAGGAGAGGATTATCGCCAGCGGCCAATATTCTAGCATAAGAGGCAGCCGTTCATCGGCTCTCGGGCAAGGCCTGGTCCAGCAGGGTGGGCGTGTCTGCCGGTTGCCCTGCTGGCTCTTCGCTCTTCGGAGCATGGAGGAGGAAACCTCGGTAAAAAACCTGATGGCGGGGCCCTGTAGGGGCCACAGTTTCTCCGCTGATAGCGGTGGAGAAAGGAGGACGGGCTCGGCGTGTACTCACACTACCACCGAGCAGGCAGGGGGACGTAGTCTCCCTGTCAACCGTCGGCACATCGTAATCCCGAGAAGAGCGCTGTGGTTAAGTCTCGCGGCCCTGATCGGGGACGAGGGTCTTGGCTTAACCGCCCGGACCGCGAGGAAGATAACCTCTCTAAAAAATTCCCCGAATCCCGTGTTCTGGTGCGTGGCCAGGGGATGCATGGCTGATGGGAAGTTCAGTCGCGAGCGCACTCCAAGCCGAGGTACCTGCGGACCCCTCGGTTGGGTTAAAAACTTACGCTTGCCCGGGTAATGGGGGATCTCTGCCCGGGTGGACCTTTAGTTCTCCCCCACTCGTGGGATTATTATGGAAAATCTTAATTTGAACAAACAAAAAACGATCGGAAAAAAAACACAACAGACAAAGGCAAGCCTAACGGACAAGGAGACGAAGAGGAGGAACAGTGGAGTGGATGGGTCGTCCACTGAGGGTGAGATGGTGTCAGGAACGCCCATCTCGATGGGGCTCCCAGAAGTCAGTCTGACTCTGATCTCTGGGAGCCGAAGAGCATCGGATCGGCTGCGTTCCGGATCTGCCGCTTCGTCGGATGGCGCGGAGGCCATGGAAGCGGAGCGGAGCGACAGCCGGAAACGCGGACGCTCCAGGGAAGAGGGGACCGACACGTCCGGCGAAATGATGCCACCAAAGGTGGCAAGCAGCCGCCGAGGGAGGGCGCGTAAACCGGCCTCGGCCTCGGTCTCGACCCCGTCAGGCTCCGCGTTCTCAAACGCGGAGTCCTACAGGAGCGTGCGAGTGGACGGCGAGGCCGTAGCGGAGGAGGAGATCGCGGATCTCCTGCTCAAGGTTCGGGAGCCGGTGGGGGGAAATGCCCCCCAGGCTCCCGTGTCCGTGCAGGAGAGGGCGAAAGCGGCGGTGGCCGTCATCGACAAGGTGGCCACCAAATCCGTGAACCTTAAGGGCTCGTTTGTGAGGGCCCTTAAGGACTCCTCCTCCGCTTTGTCGGAGGTCGTGGAGGGCCTAGCGGGCGACGTCTCTCGCCTGCAGGTGGCCAACGAGAAGCTGACGGAGCGGGTGAACGAGCTGAGCGCTCAGTTCGCCCGCTTCCAGGCGAACCTCCCCGAGCGGGAAGCCCCGTCCGCGTCCCAGCCTGCCCCTACCACCAACTCAGGGGCATTTGACTCCCAACTGCGAGAAATCCTCATCGCAGTTGGGAATATGCTGGACGGACGCCTGGCTGGCCTGGAGGCGAGACTGCCCCCTGCGCCGATTATGCGCCCCCCGCTCGCGTCGGCACAGCGGCCTAAGGCCGCCGCTCCGACCGCGCTCCCCGTTGTGGGAGGCCGCGTTTCTTACGCGGCGGCGGCGTCTGCCCCTACTCCATCGGCTCCACAAAAGCCGAGGAGGGGGGCCAAGGCACCGGCCCAGGCGCCGGCCAAGGCACCGGCTAAGGCGCCGGCCAAGGCACATCTCCAGGCGCCGGCCAAGACGGGGCCTAAAACAGCGCCGAGGAGCGGAGTGGCATTCCCTCCGCTCCCCACTCCGACACCCCTGCCTGGCCCCTCCGCACCTGCCCCCTCCAACGAGGGTTGGCAGGAGGCGAGGGGCTCCAAGAAGTCCCGAAGGCGGGCCAAAAAGGCTGCCAAAAAAGCAGCCCAGGCCCAGCCTTCGCCGCCGGTGGCAACGGCCTCCACAAAGAGGCCGCGGAAGCTGCAGCCGCCCAAAACCGCGGCTGTAGTGGTGACCGTGTCCCCGGAGGCAGCGGACGGCGGGCTGTCCTACGCGGCCGTGTTTAAAAAGGCCCGGGACAGCCTCGCTAACGACTTTGGAACGGTGGGGGTCAGGATGCGCCTCGCCCAGACGGGAGCTCGAGTCCTCGAGTTCCCTGGGGCTGAAGGCGCAAAGACGGCGGACTCCTTCGCCGAGAGGCTGCGGGGAATATTTGCGGCCACTGATGGTGTCAGGGTCGCCAGGCCTACCAAGTGCGCGGAACTGCGCATCTCGGGCCTGGACGACTCAGTGACGGCCGAAGATGTCCGCGCTGTAATCCGGGAGAAGACGGGGTGCAGCGCGGACAACGTCAGGGTCGGCACCATCCGCCCCGGTCCAGGAGGGCTTGGCGCCGTGTGGGTCAGCTGTCCCGTAGCGTCGGCCAAAGTATTGGCCGACGCCGGCAGGCTGCTCATCGGTTTCGTGAGCGCCAGGATCACAGTCCTGGCGGCGAGACCGATGAGGTGTTACAAATGCCTAGCATCGGGGCACACGCGCGTCAAGTGCCAAAGCTGCTTCGACTGCAGCGGACTATGTTTCCGCTGTGGTCGACCGGGGCATGTGGCGGTGGAATGCTCTGCCGCCCCTCACTGCCCAGTGTGTGCGGCGGGCGATAAGCCCGCCAATCACCAGATGGGGCAGAGAGGCTGCAAGCCTCCCCGCAGTTCTCGGCAGACGTCGGGGGTTAGCCAGTCGACCCAGGCTGCCTCCGATATAGTGCGTGCGTCGACGTCGTCGCCCATGGAGGAGGTTGTAGAGACGATCCAGTAATGGATCAAGTCTCCAACCTCCTGGTCCAGACGAACCTGAACCACTGTGCCGCGGCGCAGGATCTCTTCCTGCAAACCATGGCACAGTGGTCGATAGGTGTTGCCGTAGTCGCGGAGCCCTATTCTGTCCCTCCCCGTCCAAACTGGATGGGTGACTGGGACGGCTCCGTGGCAGTCGTCGGTTCCACGACGGCTCATTCCCCGCCCTTGTCGCTAAGAGACAAGGGCACTGGATATGTTGCCGTCGAGTGGGGGGGGGATCACCATATATGGTGTCTATTTCTCCCCCAACCGGAGTTTGAACGACTTCGAGGTTTTCCTGACCAGCTTGGAGACCTCGATACGGCGACTAGCGTCTGGGCACGTCCTTGTGCTGGGGGACTTCAACGCAAAGTCCATTGCGTGGGGTTCCCCCAGGACGGACGCCAGGGGCGAGGCCGTAGAGGAGTGGGCGGCCTCGGTGGGCCTCTGTCTTCTAAACAGAGGCTCCACCAACATGTGCGTGCGACAGCAGGGGGGTCGATAGTGGACCTCTCGTTCGCTACCCCTGCCCTCGCCGCACGAGTAAGGAACTGGCGTGTCCTGGAAGAGGTTGAGACGCTCTCGGATCACCTGTATATCCGATTTGAGCTCTCCCGGACCCAGGACTCCAGTAGGGGTCACGTGGCGCGGCGTTTATCCCGCTTTCCGCGGTGGGCTGTTGCCAGGCTGAACCGGGACCTACTAGAGGAGGCAGCCATAATTCACTCGTGGCTGTCTCCTCAGGCTCCGACCGAGGAGGTCGACGTGGGGGCTGGCCGCTTTCGCGATGCGATTACGCATGTATGCGATGCGGCCATGCCCCGCGTTCGAGGTCGTCGGCCTCCAAGGAAGGAGGTCTACTGGTGGTCCCAGGAGCTGGCGGACCTCCGTGCGGCCTGTACACGTGCCCGGAGGTCCTACACGCGCAGTCGGCGGCGTCACCGTGGAGACGGTGAGGAGGACCGGCTTCATGAGGAGTACCGACGGGCGCGGAAAACTCTGAAGCTGGCCATTAGCCGCGCCAAAGAAGAAAAAAGACAGGAGATGCTGGAGGGTCTTAATCGTGACCCCTGGGGTCGCCCTTACCGCGCGGTGCGACAAAAGCTCCGCGCGTCGGGCCCCCCCCTTACGGAGACTCTCCAGCCCAGCTTCCTGCGAGAAGTGGTTGAGGGCCTTTTCCCACAACGGGCGGAACACACTCCCCCGTCGATGGCCTCCTTGGCCGGAGACGACGGGGAGCACGGGGAGGATAATGTTCCGCCCGTCTGGGAATCGGAGGTAGGGGCGGCTGTTCTACGGATCCGTTCCAAGAACACCGCCCCTGGGCCAGACGGGGTACCGGCCCGAGTGCTGGCCCTGGCCCTCAACCACATGGCAGACCGCCTCGGGGAGGTGTTCGACGCTAGCTTGGCGTCGGGACGCTTCCCTGAGTGCTGGAAGAGCGGGAAGCTGGTCCTATTGAGGAAGCCGGGACGGCCTGCCGATTCGGTCGCGGCCTATAGGCCCATCGTGCTGCTGGACGAGGCGGGCAAATTGTTTGAGAGGGTTCTTTCTGCCCGCATCGTCCGGCACCTCTGCGAGGTGGGCCCCGATCTGTCGGACGCCCAATTTGGTTTTCGGGCGGGGCGTTCGACGGTCGACGCCGTGTTGCGCCTGAGGGCCGTGACCGAAGAGGCCGTGAGCTGTGGCGGCGTGCTGTTGGCGGTGTCACTGGACATCGCCAACGCATTCAATAGTCTGCCATTCAGCTGCATCAGGGAAGCACTCCACTATCATGGGGTGCCAAAGTACCTGAGGCGGCTGGTGGCAGACTATTTAGAGGAGCGTACCGTCGTGTACGAGGACCGAGAAGGTAATCTGAGGTGTCGGCCCATGTCGTGCGGTGTTCCATAGGGGTCTGTTCTTGGACCCCTCTTGTGGAACATAGGGTACGACTGGGCCCTTCGCGCCGATTTCCCCCCCCGGGCTGGGTGTAATCTGTTACGCAGACGATACCCTCGTGACAGCCCGGGGGGCAAACTTCCAAGAGGCGGCGCGCCTGGCCACAGGGGGAGTCTCCCTGGTGGTCGGGCGCATTGAGGCGCTGGGCTTACGGGTGGCCCTAGATAAGACGGAGGCCCTGTTATTCCATGGGCCCCGTCGTGGTCCACCCCCTGGCGCCTCCATCGTGGTCAACTCGGTCCTCGTACCGGTTCGGGCCCAGATGAAATATCTGGGCCTGATCCTCGACGGGAGGTGGCTCTTCGACGAGCACTTCCGACAGCTTGCTCCAAAGCTGGTCGGCGCTGCGTCTGCCCTAGGGCGACTCTTGCCCAATATGGGTGGACCCAGCGTCGCGACAAGACGGCTGTACACGGGGGTTGTCCGGTCAATGGCACTGTACGGTGCACCGGTGTGGGCGGCGGCTCTGACCGCCCAGAATAGGGTACGCCTCTGGCGCCCTCAGAGGGTAATGGCGGTCAGAGCCATACGCGGTTACCGCACCGTTTCGACGGAGGTGGCATGCGCATTGGCCGGAACTCCCCCGTGGGATTTGGAGGCGGAAGTGCTCGCCGAAGTTTATCGGCGAGTGGCTGACTTCCGGGCGGAGAGCGGATTTCGCCCTCCGCCCGAGGATGTGCGCGAGTGGCGCGAAGCCGCTCGCCGAGCCACGATGGCTCGTTGGTCGTTCCGGCTGGAGACTCCACGCGCTGGCTTTGCCGCCGTGGAGGCTCTCCAGCCGGTCAACGCCGAGTGGGCAGGGCGGCAGCACGGGACCCTTTCCTTCCGGCTGACGCAGGTGCTTTCCGGGCATGGTTGCTTCGGAAAGTACCTGCACACGGTCGCTAGGAGGGAACTGAGTCCCGCCTGCCACCACTGCGACTGCAGTGAGGACTCGGCCCAGCACACGCTGGCGGTCTGCCCCGCATGGGCGGCGCAGCGCCGGGCCCTCACTGCAGTCATCGGAGTGGATCTCTCGCTACCGGCCGTAGTACGCTCCATGGCCGGTAGCGACAGTTGTTTTACCGCGGTCGCAACCTTCTGCGAGGTAGTAATCTCGCGGAAGGAGGCGGCGGAGAGGGCCCGGGAGGACGACCTCCACTCGGACCCGATCCGCCGCCGGCGAACCGGGCGGCGGAGGCCCGCCTACCACAGCCTCATGCCGCCCTGAGTGTGGCCGCGGGTGGACGGGGTGGGTTTCCCCTCCACCCGCATTAGTTGGCCAGCCGCGAGGGGGCGGCGTCCGCGTGTGCCGGACGTCGCCTATAGAGAGGAACAACACTGAGACGGAGCCCGCACCAGGAGCGGGCTGGCGCTAGGAGGGGTCCGGATGTCTTAACAACAGCTGTTCCCGGATCCCTCCTGTTACAGGCGCAGAGTGGCACACCGTGTGGTTTTAGTCGGTCCGAGTCCGACACACCACCCCGCCGCAAACCCCGGAGGGGTGACGGTCCGAGGGGATTTCCACACGTTAAAAAAAAAAAAAAAAAAGGGTTTCCACATGGAGAAAAATTGGAGTTTCTTAAAAAGACCTTATCTAATCTTGTTACATTTATTCAGTAAATCCACTGAATAATTTAAATAAATTGCAAATCTTACGAGTAGGTATGCCACAGGATGCAAATTAATTGGTAGGACCAACATGTAGTCCGTTATATATTAAGTGAGACCAGATAAGTGATTACGCATATAATTATTCCTAATCACTTATGTGGTGTTACTTAATTTTGTGATGTCAAACCGCAGAAATTCCATGAAACTCGGGCCTGAGCTTAATTAACTTAAAGCTGACTTACAACTAACTTACATATATCTAGATTATAGATATAATTTTTATCATTAAAGTAACTGTGATAGTATTTTAAAAACTTACGTTATAACACCAAGATCAAAAACTCGTTCCTACATCCATAGACTAATGTAGCGCATCTCAATAATTTGACAAAAAAATGGCGACCGTAGGTAATCGGTAGATCACAAATTACAGTTTGTGACTATAAGCCGTTTGATGCGGGCAGCACAGGACCGTTTGTTGTGGCGAACCTTGGTTGAGGCCTATGTCCAGCAGTGGACGTCTTTCGGCTGAGATGATGATGACTATATGAAAGACAGAGATAGTCAACAAACACTAAAATTATTTTTTTCTTGCAGGATCACCATACACAGTAGAAAATATTGTGACAGCCATATCACCTAAAATAGAAAGCTACCTATTGACAGCATAATAATTTTAAATTTGTATTTAGAACACATTTCAAAACAACAGTGAAAACAATTCCAAATTAGAATCATTATTAAACTATCTTTTTCTTTTTAGTCTAGTATGTTTTGTGTATGTAAATATAAGGATCGTCTTAAAGTGATTAAAAGTTAACAGAATAAAAATAATTTCCTTTGTTTTAATTCCCCCTGTTTTCAAAGACCAGCAACTTTGTATATACTTGCATGGCAAATCGAAAAGGTTCAAAACTGATACAATTTGTTTTCCGTAAATATGACATGTCATACAGGTGAAATCAGTTCGGTAATTAGAAAGATTATATTATTAACAATTCAGATAAAGAATCGTGATTTGTTTTATCAGAAAAATCACCATTCTACACACATTATGTGCATCAAATAATAATTATCATGTATGTATTCGAAATCTGTTTATTGTGAACCGCCAACATTTGTTGTATAATAAATACTAGATTACAATTTAAATAAAGACGTGTCACTGCTGTTTCATCTCATTCCACATTCCCATAGAATCATATTTGAAAGCGGCCTGCACGTAAAAGTGATTTTGACTTAATTTTTGCGATAAAAGACCTTACTAAAATTCCCAAAGTCTTTTAAAAATAATATTATTGGTAGAGCAGTTGACAATAGAAATCTGTTACTCCAAAACCCTGTTATGACGACTATTGGTAAAAATTTGTCTTTGGTTTGTGTACAGTCGGCTAGCATTTAACAATTGTTATAAAGAGATTAGGTGAGTTTAAAAATTTCAACGTAAAAGTTGTGTTTTTCTCAAATTAAACTATATATATATTTTTTTAGGGCAATTTTCACGATAATTCAAAAAGTTAGGAACTGTTTTGAGTGTGCGTTACCCCAGCAAAATAATGTCGAAAATGGTCATTTAAACTTTATAGATAATTAGTTGCTCCGCTTCTGTAATTGTTAAGCACATTTTTAAATTTGTTTCACTTAAACTTTTTTAGTTATTTCAAAAAAACATTTCCTGCTGGGGTAACGTTTGAAACGTTACCGCAGCCAGACATTTTCTTTTTTAATTGTAATATTGAAATAAATTTTAGCTAAATAATTAGTTATCTGGACTAGGTAAATGTTAAAACTTATTTGGTATTTGTATTTTCTTCGGCTGCGAAGTTATTCGAAATCCTGCTGGAGTAACGTTTGTGGGTTTGCTGGATCTCTGAAACGGGTAAGCGGATTGTAACCATCTTTTGTACATAACTTCTTAAGGATTAGTTTTAATTTGTTCGACAATAAAATAACAAAAATAATGGACCCTTTAAAAATTATTTAGGTAAGTATGAAAACACTTCAATACGTCCTAACACTTTAAATAAGACCTCTAAAGACTTACTTGAAACGTTATTCTATTGCTTGTAACTACCTTCAAATGTATACGAATTTTCGTAAGAATACTGTAAGTGACTAAAAAGTTATGATGAAATGTAGCTCTCCACGTTCACGATCACAATGTGTGCGGCCTTTTTTGGCCACCGATAAACCTGTGTGTGGATTTATAAACTGAATGTTATGCCAATAATTAGTTGTTTAGTTCAGTCGTCTACCTGTAAAATTTCAGCGTAGTACATATAATAATTTACGAGATCATTAAATAAAAGTCATTAGAAGGTGCAAGACCGTGGTAACCCGACCATGTTTAGGTGGTTACAAAAAAGCGATCACCCAGTACATTGTGCTGGCTTTTAAAATATGTAGGATATTATTTGCAAGTTTACTACGGATATGTACATAAGTGTTACAAAAAACTACATGTTTTTTAAATATTTTTTATTTAGGATTGTTTATTGCATAATTAGTAATCAGCCGGGAGATTAGGTATTGTTTTGAATGCTTCTGTTTTCTCGTAATGTTTAGGTGAATTGTTTATAGTTGTTCATAGAATTCTTAGCTGCGTAGTATTTGTAAATTGAAGTTTAATTTTAGGGTAGGTATAGGTAATATAAGAAATATGAAATGAAATGATTAGTTTTGAAGAGTGTAACGTATGCGTTGTAAATAGGTATTTTGTGAATAGATGGGGATTTTTTTAAGTGATGAATCGACTTAGGCTAGCATATCGCGAACAAACTCTGTATTGCATTATTTCTGTAATAATGTTGGAGAAAATAAAATATTTGATCACAAAATCGCGGTGAGTTAAATTATAATAAAATAAATTATTTATGTAAAATTAGTAATAAGTGATATACCTACCTAAATGTTATGATCGTTTTTAATTTGTTCACCCTGAACGAAATTTCAATATTAGCATTAGAAATTAATATCCTAAGACAAGAATTGACAATTACTTAAATTGAATCGAATTAGCATTAATGCCTATTATTAGAAATTAGGTACACACATATTGAAGAACTCTCAAGAATACGATAAATATTTGCAAAAATAGAAAGCGGAAGCGCACACGTACTTTACGACACGTATATTATCTGCCTAAGGGTCAAGTTTAGTGCACTAGATGCATATTGCAAACAATGAAGTATCCCTTCGCCCCTCCCCTCCCGCGTTCTAGCGAAGGATGTATTATCAGCGATTCTTGATTGACAAATATTATCTGACCAATAATTTTATCTATAAAAATGTATCACTTTCACTCGATAAATTAAATTACCGTTATTATATCAAAATATCATTCAACAACTGTTCGTTTTTAACAGAAATCAACAGTCACGGGCTCAACGCTTAACGGTAGGTACAAAGGTATAGATAATTCTCGGTTCTAGGTATAGACAACAGAACAATATTACCTACTCTTACGAGGTATACGACTGTTGGGCGATGCAATGTTGATGCATTCTAATTTACAACTGTATTCTTCTACTATTCGGTCTATTTTAACTTATTGTAGATGACTTGTTGCTTTAAATATTTTGATGCATTTAAATCTAAGCTCTATACACCCCAAAATAAAATACAATTACTTTAGTGTTATTTCTTTACAAAAAAAAAAATCAAAGAAATGAAACGATTTCTTATTGGTTTAAATTTTCGTTGAATTGCAGTCTGGTGAATCGTTCATACATGTATCTACATATTTATAATTTTAGCGGACCAGTGCAGATTTTCTGTTGATTGTAGCTCCGGTAGTAAAAATAACTAAATAAATTTTAAGTAAAGAAACTAGTGCTTAAGATCAATTAGGGAAAAAAACAAAATAAATAATAGGTAATAATAATGAATAAATATTGAATGTATTTAACACTGTACGCAACTGTACCGAAATCGTAAGGTGTATTACACTAAACATTTTAAAAGCCAGCACAATGTACTGGGTGATCGCTTTTTTATAACCACCTAAACATGGTCGGGTTACCACGGTCTTGCACCTTCTAATGACTTTTATTTAATTATCTCGTAAATTATTATATGTACTACGCTGAAATTTTACAGGTAGACAACTGAACTAAACAACTAATTATTGGCATAACATTCAGTTTATATATCCACACACAGGTTTATCGGTGGCCAAAAAAGGCCGCACACATTGTGATCGTGAACGTGGAGAGCTACATTTCATCATAACTTTTTAGTCACTTACAGTATTCCTACGAAAATTCGTATACATTTGAAGGTAGTTACAAGCAAAAGAATAACGTTTCAAGTAAGTCTTTAGAGGTCTTATTTAAAGTGTTAGGACGTATTGAAGTGTTTTCAGACTTACCTAAATAATTTTTAAAGGGTCCATTATTTTTGTTATTTTATTGTCGAACAAATTAAAACTAATCCTTAAGAAGTTATGTACAAAAAATGGTTACAATCCGCTTACCCGTTTCAGAGATCCAGCAAACCCACAAACGTTACTCCAGCAGGATTTCGAATAACTTCGCAGCCGAAGAAAATACAAATACCAAATAAGTTTTAACATTTACCTTACTGCGGATAACTAATTATTTAGCTAAAATTTATTTCAATATTACAATTAAAAAAGAAAATGTCTGGCTGCGGTAACGTTTCAAACGTTACCCCAGCAGGAAATGTTTTTTTGAAATAACTAAAAAAGTTTAAGTGAAACAAATTTAAAAATGTGCTTAACAATTACAGAAGGGGAGCAACTAATTATCTATAAAGTTTAAATGACCATTTTCGACATTATTTTGCTGGGGTAACGCACACCTGTTTTGATTCAAATTTTGCGAGTAAACTTATTAAGCGCTTGAACGTAGATTTTTTTCATATCACAATTATTTTTACAAGGCAATTCTTTGGTGCCAAATACAAGACAAAATGTGAGTTTGTGTTATTATTTTACTAGTTTAAAACTCGATAAGATTGGGCCAATGGGCCAAAAAGGCAATCTTATTGTACTAACAGTTCCTAACAGCCTGTAAAACTGATTTTTAACATTTCGACAGTCGCGAGGTACAATCACAGGTGAAATAAATTATTATTATATAATACTAATATAATATAAATTACCGTGTTGTGACGGATTAAGAATACAGAGTGTCACCACCCCTATTCATCCCGTGGGTGTCGTAAGAGCCGACTAAGAGAAGGAAAACTTGACACCAACCCTATACCAACACGTCTGGCCAGCGTGGTATAGTAGGCCAAAACCTCGTCTCTAAGAAGAGGGCTATGTCCAGCAGTGGACTGTTAAAGGCTGTTGATGATGATGGTGGTAATTAGGTAATAGGAATCTAGTATTAGTACGAGTATAGTAATATAGGTAATATTAACTTTTACTGAACACTGTAAATTTTTCGTTCGATCGCTATTTTGTCTAAGTGCGGTCATTTCTGCAACTACTACTGGGATTACAATTTTTTTTCTTCGATTTTCGTTTGCAACATGACTTGGAAGACTGAGAACGGTAATTTCTTTTGAAAAGTTTTATTCGTTGAAGTCTGAATAGCTGAGAAAAGATCCTTGCGATTGGACTGATGGACTGGTGATAAGACTGCAGTATCTGCCAATACCTGCTCGTCTTTATTATTTCTACGTTAGTTCTCTTCCTCCTTTT